ATTGAAAACTAATTTAAATAATAAGAATAGATTGAAGATGTTTTAAACTTTAAAAACATATTGGAAAAGCAGTCTATTATATAAAGATAAATGAGGGTACTGACTATTTTTTATCATTTTTAAGAAGTGTATATATATACACGGGCTTACTATGTTGTGAGATCCACAATATCGCATGTTAAATAATTCATAAGTAGTGTTTGTCGATAACATGCCATGTCGAATACCACTGGTCAATAATTCACACGTAGTGTTTGACAATAACATATCATGTCGAATTAAAAATAAACAACGTCACAATAAAGGATCTTAGACAAAATAAAATGAAGAGTAGAATATCTCAATTAGGAAAAAAAAAAAAGAATACAAAGTCTTAATTAAAACAATTCCAAGGATAAAAAGTTCATATATGAGCAAAACCCATCGATTAATCTTCAAACACAAATCGTTATATTTATTATATTATATATTTCCATGTTACAAATATACAAGGTACACTTATATAAATTTAAATACGATGATAAATATTTAGGTATTAGAAGGAAAACACTCATAGTAAAGATTTTTAAGATATTTGCGTTTATCTTATAAATAATATAATGGTATTAGAAAATAAGTTTTGATTCAAATTGAATTATACTTGATGATTGTCGAATTTCAGCAACTAACTAAATAAAAGCACATGATTGATTTTCATATTGTGAAATTTAACATAGGGGAAAAATTACAATTTCTCTATCATGTAAGAGTAAGATCATAAAGTGCAATTTCATTAGTAAAAAAAAATAATAAATAAATAATAAACTATAATTTATAGGAATTATTGTACTAAATTATAAAAAAAATCGTAAATTTCCCCCACTTTACTGTGTGGACGGATTAAAATGTTTTTGATGTATTGGGCATTACCCTTTTGGTTGGTTTTACGTTTTGTTTCGTTGTTTACTTTAATTTTGATTTAATGTGATAGATGTGTAGTTAAAGAACAAAAAAATATCGTTAATTAATTTAAAAGAAAACATAATTTTCATTTAAGAATATTAAAATCGGTCAATTGTATCTCAATAACTTAGGTTGTCATTAAAAATCATAGCAAGTTGTTGTATGGATTAAATAGAATAAATTCCAATTTGTCCCTTCGGATTTATGTGTTGTTTTAAGAGCGAGTTAATAATTTCAATTTACTGAGTTGTCATTTTTTAAATCAAATTGTGTTCTTTAATCTTTGTTCTTTGAGTTGATCAAGTTGTAATTTTTTTAATCAAATATTTTTGTTAATTTTACGTCGACGTGACTGTTAATTATACACGTGGCTTCGATTGTTGGCCTCACTATCAGTATTTTTTGTACAAACTCATTACTTTTTTCTATTTTAGTGGTTCTGTTAATTTAAAATTGATGTGTTCGTTAACCACATGCATGGGACCATGATGCCCTATTATCAAATTCGTGTTTAAAAAATTACTTCTATAAAAATAAAAATAAATCAATCAATAGATATATAAAATTAAATAAAAAAGACTTTTCTAATCAATCTATCTTTTCCAATTTCGATTCAGGTTATCTTTCAATCTAAATTAAAACTTAGTTTCATATTGTCATATTTCAAAAACCTCCATTCTTAGTTTTTTATCGAGAACGAGAATGGATCGTTATCTTGGTGAATTGATACAACTAAAAATAGTTGTAATAGTTGTATCAATTCACCAAGATAATGATCCATTCTCGTTCTCAAGAGCAAAACTAATTATGTTTTAATTTTCAATCATTTCCTTCCATCTCGATATATTTAAGTGATTTTTTTAAAAAAATATATTTCCTTCCATATCGATATATTTAAGTAATTTTTTTTAAAAAATATATTTTGATGTAAAGGTCATAAATATCTTATTGTTATTGAGTAATTTATTTGTCTTTATTGTTACCATATGAGAATGAAAACAAATTCTTTTTTTTCTAGTTACTATGTGTCTTGATAATGAATCCACATGACGATTTTATGTGTGTAGTTAATATACATGTCAGTCTACGGTTAACAAAACCTTTAAATTAGAAAAAAATTATAAGTTAGTACACTTAAATAGCGAGATATTAAAGTTTACACACTCAAATAGAAAAAAATGACAAATTTGTAAGAAAAAAAAATTGACAATGGGGCCCACATTTCAGTCTCATGTGTGCAATTAATAGTCACGTCGGCATAAAATTAACAAAAGTTAAAGAAAACATTTAATTAGAAAAAAAATTACAACTCGACAAACTCAAACAACTAAAATTAAAGAGGAGACACTTGATTAGAAAAAAATTGATAACTTGGTAACTGAAATTGTGATTAACTCATTATCTTAATTTTACTTAAAAATTTTGATTTGTTTTAATTAATACCAACATTTTTTTTATATTTCAATTATTTACTACAGTTTTCATTTTTTTGTTCCAATTTCTCCTTGTGTCCATTTCAGTCAAGAACAATAACAAAAAACACGTGTAAGTTTTAAATTAATCCATGAAGTTTATGAAATCTCAATGTCATCAACAAAGTAAAATTAATTAATTAATTAAAATTGACAAAGGTAAAAATAGAAAAGTAATTGAAACATTTTTTTAATAAAACAAACATGATAAAACTTGAGAGGATTAGTTTATCAAGAAATACTCTATCCATATCAAGTTCAATTCTCGCTCAACAAAATAATCTTATCATTTGTCAATAATATAGTTAAATAAAAATTAAGGTTCAAATGAATTTAACTCTAAACAACATCAAACTTCATGGATTAGTTTATCAAGAAATACTCTATTCATATCAAGTTCAATTCTCGCTCAACAAAATAATCTTATCATTTGTCAATAATATAGTTAAATAAAAATTAAGATTCAAATGAATTTAACTCTAAACAACATCAAACTTGTCTTATCCATGTTTTTTCCTTTCATTTCATTTCAATCTTATTTTATTTTTTCATACTTATTGTTTAGGATTTTGTAGCAGATTTTTAGATAAAAAAATGTAAATATAATAGACGGTGAAAAAATATAAAATAGACAATAATAGTAGTGATTGATATTGTTGTTATTATTTCTTTTATCTTATTCTTGTACTATTAAATGATTGGTGGGTAAGGTTGATGGTAAAAAAAAACCTTTTCTGTCATGTTTGTTTTGTTAAAAGAAAAATAATTTGTTGGTTTTTAATTTTAATTTGTTTATTCTTATATCTTAGAATATATCTATATATTCTATTAATTTTAAGAATGAAATTAAAATTTATATAATTTTTTTCCATTACTGTTTCTGATATACAGATGAAAATAGAAAATGAAATAAATGTGAAAGATATAAAATTTTGGTTAAAACAAATAAAAATTTTTAGATGAAATTAGAATAACACATAAATCTTACCCAAACCAATTAAAATTTTCCCAATTAAATATAATTTAAAACATTGCAATGACATGTAAATGCATGCGAAGTTCTGCAATATTTCGAACTAAATTGGATTTAGCACGTCTCTTGACCGAAAACCGCACCATGCCTTTCAAAGCCATAGGAATGGCATGGGTTAGGCCGCGTTATATTTAAACAAGAATAATGTTATATATTTAATTTTTTCTTATATAAAATTCTCATTTTATGAATATTAATTAGGTTAATAGCTGTACGAGTATCTCTACTCATTTTTTTGTATTCATCATATTTTTTTATTCTTTTTTATTTTAAATTTGCTTCGTTTGTTTCTTAATCTCATCATTATATTGGCATTTTTGGCAAATGGTGTTAAATCGCCCAGTTAGTCTCAAAAGATTGCAACATGTGTCAATTTATTTATGTTTTGTCCTAATCTCCTCTCTCTGTTTTTTTTTTGTTTTAATCTTTTTTTATACTAAGTTTCAATAAATAAATCTTGAGAAAAAATATATATTTTTTGTCATTTCTTATAAAAATTTTAAAATAAAAAACTATAAAAAGGTGAAGATAAACATATTTTGCTATCTAAAATATTATTTATTGATTTAAATTTATCTATATAATAGTAAACAAGTTTAAAGAATAAAATGAAATTTTTTTTTAAACGTTAATATAGTTTTAGTTAAAATTTTAAATCTTGAATGTTATTTATAATTTTATAATATCTAAAAAAACCTATTATAATTTACTCATTTTTTATTTTACAAATTTCTTAATCTAACTCAGAAGTAGAAATATAAATTTTGTTAAAATTTTTAGTCAAATTAATAAATCCATTAGTGTTGGGTCCAACATCAACAAAAAATCATATTAAAAAATTTAACAACAATTCTATTCACATTTTAAAAAAATGAATATAAATATTTTTTTATATTAAAAATTTTATTACTACCACACATATAAATTTAAACCTATAAATTATATTTTGGATAAAAAAATATTTTTATCTCTATTTTTTTTTCAATTTTATTTTTCAAAATCAAAGACATGGTAAAGACCAAAAAAAGTAGAGAAACCATGTAACTATTAATCCAATTTTTTATTATGAAATATTAACCATTTACTACTTATAAAATCTATATTTTATCACTTATCAACTGAGACATTAATTAATTATGGATTTACATTTTACCACTCATCATTCCATAGATTAATTTATATGAAATTTTAGTGTAAAAAAAATTGTTTAAAAATCATTTTTCTTTAAATAAAAACACGTTTTAAAGTCGAAGTAAAACGTTTCCTAGAAAAAGAAGAGTGGTCAAATCGTGGGACGGGGACTGGTTTGGCTGATTAGATTTAGAATCCAGTTTGGTGGTTCACTAAAGCTGCCCTAAAAAATCTTCAATAGAGGTAGCAGCCCCTTAGACAGAAGTCAATGTATCTGGACGCTTTGTAAGATGACGACTCCACTGAGCTTTAAAACTCCGACATTCTCTACCTTATCATTTTCAAAGCAATTGCTGCTTCACAACAGAAGCGTTGCCTCTATTAGCTCTACACGGAGACGAATCTCTTCTTACCCTTCTCTCATGGCATCCTCACCTTCCGTTTCCACGACACAGAAAGATGCCGTTTGCACTCAAAACGACTCAACCCAGAAGACCCAACAGCCATTACAAGTAACCCAATCCTCTTTTTTCTTATCTAATTTTTTACGCGCTTAGTTTATTTTCGATTCTGGGGTTTTGGTCCTTTCATTATGTGTGTGTTTCATTGACCCTAGTTTTCGTTGTGGTTTTCCTTAATTATTCAGATCTAGGGTCGAGATGAGACCCTTCCATGATTCTGTTGAATCCTTTGTCTAATTTTGGATCTTTATGTAGTTTTTTTCGTTATCGTTTCCTTTCGCTTCATTCCCAATCAAATGGTTTGCCTGAGTGATGTTCAATGGTTCGAGGAGCATAAAAGGAAGCTGTTTTCGTTAGGGCAATTACTGGGTTGTTATTGTTGGGAAGCTTTAACAATTAGATCTGTCTTGCTCTTGTTTCAAAAAGCAAAGCTGGTGAAAAGTCTTGAATGTATGGTTTTAATGGCTTATAATGTAAGCCTGAATGTGATAGGCTGGAGTTAATTGTTTTGGTTGGAGCTCATATTGAGTTAGTTTTGTGATAAATTAATGAAAACGCATGGGTTGTTCTCCGTGCTTCCTTGAAACTCAATCACATTGGTATACATGGCTAGATATGAATTGCCGGATTTTTCTCTTAACCCATATTTATTTGGTCAAGCACTGTGGATTTCTTCAGTTTACGTCTATGCGCACTATACGAAGCAATGATTTCATTCTACAATGTTCTGATGAATAGTTCCACATCAAGTTAATAAATGACATGCCTCAGTATCTTTGTTTTTGGAGTCCCTTTCTAATATTTTGGCGTCTTTGGCAGGTTGCAAAGCGTTTGGAGAAGTTCAAAACGACAATCTTCACACAGATGAGTTCACTTGCCATCAAACATGGAGCGATAAACCTTGGCCAAGGCTTTCCCAACTTTGATGGTCCTGAGTTTGTCAAAGAAGCAGCCATCCAAGCTATTAAAGATGGAAAGAACCAATATGCACGTGGATATGGGGTTCCAGACTTCAACTCTGCCATTGCTGAGCGATTCAAGAAAGATACCGGGCTTGTGGTGGACCCTGAGAAAGAAATTACTGTTACATCTGGGTGCACCGAAGCGATAGCTGCAACTATGCTTGGCTTGATAAATCCTGGTGATGAAGTTATCCTCTTTGCTCCTTTTTATGATTCATATGAAGCAACATTATCCATGGCTGGTGCCAAAATAAAGGGCATCACATTGCGCCCTCCATATTTTGCTGTACCTATTGATGAACTTAAATCAGCCATCACAAAGAATACTCGTGCAATTCTCATCAACACTCCGCATAATCCCACTGGAAAGATGTTTTCTAGGGAGGAGCTTAGTGCTATTGCATCGCTCTGCATTGAGAATGATGTGCTAGTTTTTGCTGATGAAGTTTATGATAAATTGGCTTTTGAAATGGATCACATATCTATGGCCTCTGTTCCCGGAATGTACGAATGGACTGTGACTTTGAATTCCTTAGGGAAGACATTCTCCTTAACAGGGTGGAAGATTGGCTGGGCAATAGCACCTCCTCACTTGACATGGGGAGTGCGGCAGGCACACTCTTTCCTTACTTTTGCTACCTCCACTCCTATGCAGTGGGCTGCTGCAGTTGCCCTCAGAGCCCCAGAATCCTACTATGTTGAGCTAAAGAGGGATTATATGGCAAAGAAGGAAATTTTGGTCGAGGGGTTGAAGGCTGTTGGTTTCAAAGTATTTCCATCAAGTGGGACTTACTTTGTGGTTGTTGATCACACCCCTTTCGGCCAGGAGAATGATATTGCATTTTGTGAGTATCTGATCAAGGAAGTCGGTGTCGTAGCAATCCCAACAAGCGTATTTTACTTGAACCCGGAAGATGGAAAGAATTTGGTGAGATTCACCTTCTGCAAAGATGAAGAAACTCTGAAGGCTGCAGTTGAGAGGATGAAGGAGAAGCTGAAGATAAAATGATCCCTTTTTTGTGGAATTTGTAGTCTGAACTTCGATATTTCAGTGATCGATGCTGTGATCCCAATATTTATGTAGGAGGAAAGTGCCATTTTTTGGTGGTGATAAAGGCCAATCAGTCTGATCATGAATTTACAGCATTGTTAGAATAATAGAAGGCATCTTTTCTCAAAATCTATCTTCGATTTTAATCAATTTGATTGCAGTTTCTTATTCTTGGGTTTAGATTTGTGTAATTTTGTCAGACTCAAGTTCCTGGATGCGTTCTGTATATAGTTTCAAAAAGCTTTGGGTTTCGCTCAATAAGATTGATTTCCTTGTTTGTCAGGAAAATCAATTATAAATTAGTGTCTTTTATTTCGAAAAATGAATTAATTAATTTCTTTTCGTTTCAAAAACTAATAATTTTTTTTTATTTTAAAAATTAATTATTTAGTTTTTATGTTTTAATTTGGTAAAAATCTTAATCATCTCATTTTTTTAAAAAATTATATATATATTCCTCTTTTCAACCATCATTTCCTTTCATTTCACACTTTTCTATCTAACCAAACAAACCCCAAAAATCAAAACTTAACAAGGAATAAATTCTTTCAAAACTCAATCAATCTTTGATACCTTAGCAATCTTTATATCCCATCAGACCAACATCATGAGAGATTCACGACCAAGAAAAAGCGCAGATGTCAACCATTGACATGAAAAAGCATTCATCGAAAACCTTGTTACGTATATTAAACACAACATTCAAGCCAACCAAACAACAAACTTTTTTTTTTCATCTTCTGATATCACCTCAGGTGTCTCAACCTTGAATGTAATCAAGCTCCTCTTTAAAGAATTGACAAAGCAAAAAACTCAACATTTGCATTAAAAGAACTGGTTTTGAACTCTTATTGGGATTGAGTGAAGGAAAAATTAAAGATATTTTGTATTGTCAACGAGATCTTTCAATTGGATATATATATTTAAAAAGATTTTAGGTATCATGTATTAATTTGATGGATCTGGCAAGAACTTAATGATGAAGAATTAAATAATTAGTTTTTAAAATGAGTATGACTAACTAATTTATTTTTTGGAACAAGAGGGATTAATTTATAATTTACTCTGAAAATGAAATCTTGTAGCCTTAATGCGTGCTTTCCAAATTGGGTCAAGCCCATCGTGAATTAAGGTATGGTTTATCTTAGGCCTTAACTACCTCCTGTGGGCTACGTATTATTATTATTATTTTTTTTTTTGTACTCACAATTGTTTTTTTTTTCCTTGAGAATTCACGGTTGTTTTTTCTTTTTAATTAACGAAGTATTATTTTTAATTGTTTTTTTTTAAATAACAGAAGTAATATTGTTACACTTTATCTGTGTAAAAGGGAAAGGATTGAGGGTAATCTTCTTTCTATTCTTTTATTTTTTATTATTTTGAATGCTTTCAATTTGAATGGATTAATTCTTATCCTTCCTTGATTTGTTAATCAAACAAGTAGACGGATTATAAGCCACTCGTTATTTTTTACACTTAATGTTTGATGCAAACAGTATCGGTAAAGTCTTTGGGAACCAAATAAGTCGGGTTATTATCTACAATCTCTGAGAATCGACCTACAGAAAGAGTAGATCTCCGGCTGGCATAGAACTCCTACTTTTCCCTGGACACTTGTACCGTATTTTGTTAGGACTATTATGCTTGGTTCCTGACTCTATACATATATTAGTATTCTCACCAGATTCGCTTTCAAATAAAGAAAAGAAAGAACTCTTAGCAAAAAGTTTCAGATCAGGAAGGCAAGGGAACTTCAACCATGGCCACCAAAGGGCAGGTTGATCTTCTCTTAAAGCTAGACCAAGCTAAAACTCAGTTCTACCACATCAAAGCTGTGATAATCTCCGGCATGGGATTCTTCACTGATGCTTACGATCTTTTTTGCATCTCTTTGGTGACCAAACTACTTGGCCGCATATATTACCAAGTTGAAGGATCCCCAAAACCAGGTATTTTGCCTCCTAATGTAGCTGCTGCCGTTAATGGAGTAGCACTATGCGGAACTCTTGCTGGACAACTCTTCTTTGGGTGGCTTGGTGACAAGATTGGTCGCAAACGTGTCTATGGCATCACGCTTATGCTGATGATGATATCTTCCATTGGTTCTGGCCTTTCTTTTGGGAGTTCGCCGAAAACAGTTATGGCTACTTTGTGTTTCTTCAGGTTTTGGCTTGGTTTTGGGATCGGAGGAGATTACCCACTCTCAGCAACCATAATGGCTGAATACTCTAACAAGAAGACTCGTGGGGCTTTTATTGCGGCTGTTTTTGCTATGCAAGGATTTGGAATCCTTGCTGGTGGTATCGTTGCTATGGCTGTTTCTGCAATTTTTCGTGCTGTATACAAAGCTCCTGCTTACTCGGTTGATCCAATCGGCTCTACTGTGCCACAAGCAGATTATGTTTGGAGGATAATTCTAATGCTTGGTGCATTGCCTGCTGTTTTAACCTATTATTGGCGCTTGAAGATGCCAGAAACTCCTCGTTACACTGCCTTGGTCGCCAAGAATGCTGAGAAAGCCAGTCAAGATATGTCCAAAGTCATGGGCATTGAAATGCAACCTCAAAAGGAGGTAGGAAGGGAGAAGGTGATTAATAGAAGCAACTCTTTTGGGTTATTATCCATGGAATTTCTTCGCCGTCATGGATTGCACTTGTTGGGGACAGCAAGCACTTGGTTCTTACTTGACATTGCATACTATAGCCAGAACCTGTTCCAAAAGGATATTTTCAGTGCTGTTGGCTGGCTTCCAAAGGCCCACACAATGAGTGCACTGGAAGAACTTTTCAAGATCGCCAGGGCACAATTCTTTATAGCACTCTGTGGCACAGTTCCAGGATATTGGTTCACAGTCTTTCTTATTGATTATATTGGTCGTTTTACAATTCAGCTGATTGGGTTTTTCTTCATGACAGTATTCATGTTTTTATTGGCCATTCCTTATCACCACTGGACTCTAAAAGAAAACAACATTGGTTTCATTGTCGTTTATGGACTTACCTTCTTTTTGCAAATTTTGGGCCTAATAGCACCACATTTATAGTACCAGCGGAGATTTTCCCTGCAAGGTTCAGATCAACATGCCATGGGATATCAGCAGCTGCTGGGAAGGCTGGTGCAATAATAGGGGCTTTTGGGTTCTTGTATGCAGCTCAGAATCAGGATAAGTCCAAGGTTGATCCAGGATATTCAACTGGTATTGGGATGAAAAATGCACTAATAGTGCTTGGCACGATCAATGTGCTAGGCTTTCTGTTAACATTTTTGGTTCCTGAGCCAAAAGGAAGATCTTTAGAGGAGATTTCAGGGGAGAATGAAGAAGCTGATCAAGCACACCCCACCGGAGTTGAGGCTGTCTAGGTCTAGCTGTTTGTTTTGTTTACCTTCTGATCCTAAGAATTTTTCTTGATCCATTTACTCATGTGGCATGAATTTTGTCTTGATTGTCTGCTGCCTGCTCATCTGTAGGGATTTAATTTGTTCTAGACACAATAAATTTCTAGCAAAACCTGATCTATACATCTACCTATGTGTATGTATGTGACACTTCAGATTAAGATTTTTTTTGCCTTCGAGAGCTTAGGGAAAACTAGGTAAATAGACTGGTGAAATCTGGGACATGCATGACTGCTTACTTAGTGCAGCTTCGATTATATTGACTCAAGGAGGGACAAGGCTGCTTTATTAGAGCAGCAAAATCAGTAGTCTTCAATTCAGAATGAAGGTGGACGGAGATGGTATCCATGCATAGTGATTAAATAATCCATTAAAAAAAAAAAATCCAAACGCGCATATATCAGTTAGTAATCCTATACGTGCTCGGAGGTTGAGGGCTGCCACCTAGTGGATTTCAGTGCGGCATATGAGATGGAAAAAGTCTAATTATGAAAACCCTCCATTAATCATTGATATAAACTGGAATTGCAAGTTCTACGATGGAAATCTACAGGACATGCATCTCCAAATTAATCCTATTATTTTTTTCTTCTAGTTAAAACTGATGCTGCTGTAGCATATTTATTCTATAGCAAATAGCAATTTCCGGAATCTATGGAACTTAGTTCCATAGCAGGAACCAAAAACTGGGATTAGTCCTATCTCTTATTAAGGATGTTATACCTGGGAAAAAAAGAAGAAGAAAAACTATTAATGCAGCTAACATTAAATCGCTTGTCGACTAATGATCACAATGATTGACGGTTTGTCTGGCAGATATTTTCTGCAAACTACAATAAAGCCCCACTCTTCTAAGAATTCAAGTACAGAGTTTTGTACAAATTTCTTTTAGATTGATGATCATGACCAGCTTTGATGTTCACATGTTTAGCTTTCTATATTTGTAGTGATATTGAAGCCGAGCGTGGAAAGTTACAACAATTCTGCAAGTCTTCTTTAGTACTATAAGAAACCCCCTTTGGGCTGGAGAAGGATCTTGCATTACGTGAGTACCCAACCAATAAGATATGGCGTGATAGATGAATTCCGAAAGAATCTTCTTCTTTTACGTATTAATTAATTCCTTATCAATCCTGTCAGTTTGATTAACACCTCTTAAATTATTGTATTTTTCATTTCAACCCTCGAGCTAATATCTATTATATTCCGTCCAATTTAACCATTACATATCTCATACAAGTCATGTATTTTTTACTTTATTCTTTTACAATACGAAAAGGTCATAAAATTAACCAGAATCAATTTCTTTATGATGATTTTATAGCTTATGTGACTGAAATTTAGTCTTTAATGAAAGATATTGGTCTTTCAAAAATCAGTCATGTAGCTAGGTACGTAGCCTTGCTAACCAAGCTGCTCAAATCATGGCTAATCAAGTTTCTCATAGTAATTTTTTAGTTTTTTTTTTTCCTTCATTAATCATCCTTTTTTGTCGGTTTTGGTAAAAAAGAAAGATGATGTTTTATGAAAATGCTGGTAGAGGTTTGATTTTTTTAACAGTTTTTTTAATGATGTTTTGATGTTTTTAGGAAAACAGGTGCAATTTATGCTATTTTAACAGGAAAATGGATGAAATATAATGTAATGGATGTCAATCAAAATACCTTGTAGTTTAGAAGTTTGAAATCAGAAAACAAAATAATACAAGAGAATATATCAATTAAACAGATCATTAGTTTGAGAGTCTTCAAAAATTGACAGTTTGGCGTCATTTCAAAATACTGAACGTTAAATATCAGTCTCACTGCAAGCGTTACTAATCCAATCGAACAGAAGGCATACAACCACAGACAAGAAGATCAAATGACCATAGCAGGATAAGAAAGGCAGAGCAAACTAAGTAAGTAATTCCGGAGATAGAAGGGCAAAACAATAATGTACACAAGTAATTTAGGGTGCCCGGGAACCTTTCGATTCTTAGAACCTGGTGGAAAGATATTACGTTGGTAACCAAAACAGTGATGGGGTGATAGCAATGGTTGCACAAGCAGTGTTGAGTTTCAATCAGCTAGGCAAGCTTTTATGGGAAGAATCCAAAAACGTACCATTCAAATCTTAATGTTTAGATGAGTCCAAGACATACGTATCTGCTGACGAATACTCCACTTGTATATTGCTGCTTTTGGACTATGAATTTATTATGAAAAGTATAGTTGTATTGACAATAATATTCAATTAATTTGCATAGCATAATCTCTTCATGTAAAAAAGGCGAAAAATATCGATCGTTCACTTTGTATGACTAACATCATTTGAATCATAATTACGAGTTGATTTAATACCATTTTCCATGTTAATCTTATCAATTTTTGTGCCTGCAATTGTTGACAACTAATTATATTGGTCTCCAAAGATAAGGCCACACAAAAATAGAATGGCAATGTTCACTGTACACAAGGAAGAGAGCTTGAAGGTATCATTATACACTGTTCCTTAATGACATTATGAATATGATATTCAAAAGGGTTTTTTATTTCTAATCCAACATTTCATTAAAAAAAAAAAAGAAAAAAAAAGAAAAGGGTCAGCGAGAATTAAAGCAAACATGAATAGCGTATGTCACTTTCGGTGATGGATTTACGTCTTAATAAACTTCCTTTTATTTGACTGGAGATGGAAACGAGAGATTATTTTTTTCTCTTTGGCTGATTAGCCTGAAGAATTAAGATATATGTGTGGGACACATTCAAACTTAGCCTAACATTTATGTATATTATATAACAAAGAAGTAGCCTTAAATCCTTTGAGTTTTTCAAGAAAAAGAAAAAAAGAAATTAATAATTTATCTTGAATTATCAAAGTCATTTGATATTTCCTTTGTTTCCACTAGAGATATGCCTTTAAATATAAATTTAAGTAGTCCAACAGACCATTAAACTCGAGACTTAAAATGTTCTAAGGCATATTTAATATGCAGATTTTTAAATGTTTTCTTAGAATATAATTGTTGAGAATATAATATTTGTATTTGGTTGAAAATAAAAATTTACAATAATGTGCCTTGCCTGTGTTTGGTTTATTTTTAAGAATTCATGGGAAAATTTAAACAAATTTACCATTTTTTAAAATTTAGATTTTTGGTATAAATAATTAATTTTTTTGACCAAATAAAAAATTAACTTGATAAAATTGTAATTTTCAAGTAAAATAAATATCTTCGGTTATTATTATTATTTATTTACTTACATATAATATATGTAATATCTGTGGTCAGTTTTCATATCAATAAAGATCAATTCTTTTATTTTTTCAAACAATTGTGTTATTATTATTATTATTATTTATTTATAGATAATATAATATCTTTTATCACTTTTCACATCAATAGAGATTAATTCTATTATTATTTATTATTAAATCAGCATCAAAACACTTACTTTTTTGTTTGCTGGATTCTTTTTTAAACCAAATTAGTCCAAACTTGATACCAATAAGAAATAATTATAATTAATTATTTATGAATAGTAAAAATTGAACCTTACTCTTAATTAAATTAAAACAACTCTTTAACAACTAAACCATATCCATTGGTGGTAGCAATTAGAAAATTTTTATCATACTCAATAAGTAACTAGTGTATATATTGTAAGAAATATTTCTAGAATGTAGCCTATGTGTGTAATGTTTTATTTTAAATCTATAAGTGATAATTTAAAAATTTAGAACCCAATGGACTTTAGTAGTGCATTGGGCACATCCATGATAGATGAAAGTGCAAAATTAGGTTAAAAAAAGAGTCTTTGGTCTAGCTATATAAATAATAAGTAAAACATGTGTTTTTCATCAGCACACAAAACCCTAAAGTATTGGCATAGACTAGAATGCTTTCTCTCCTTAATGACTCCAGCTTTTCTTTCAATAATATCTTGAGCACTTAATCAATTATAAAAGGATGTATGTATTCTATTAATTTTCGCTGCGTTTATATGCTTAAGCATATTTAATTATCTTACATATATACTATAGTTACTCTATAAATTCATTTTTCAGGAGAGAAATAAACACGTAAAAAAAAAGATCACATTTAAATTGATAAAAAATAATAAAAAAATTTCACGAAGTAAATAATAAAAATATACCAAGCCAATTAGTATTAATATTAATCAGGAGTATTTTAGGCCGGAACGCATTTCCTTGTCCTTCGAATTGCGATTCTCGTCATTTTAGAAGGAATCTCATTCCTTATTTCAAGGGAGAGTAATGCCATAGGTAATGCTAATTTTTTTTAATAAAAAAAATTAATAATAATATTTTTTTCTAGCATATAAAATGCAAGAATTCTTAACATCTCAAATGTCTTTTTTAAGAAAATTTTAAATACCTCCATATTAAACGCTCCTAAATTTCACCGGAGTCAAGTTTAGAAAGTTGAACTCTTTTGGCGATTGAAGTCTCTTTCTATAGGCTTTTAGCATGGAGTTAATAGTTGCATAAGGTCTTTTATTTATTTATTTATTTTATATTTTTTTAATTTTAATCATATTTTCATTAACTTTTTAAATTGATTTTTTAAATGACACTGTTAACCCTGTAAGATTGCTAAAATGTGTTGATTTTTTTTTTCAGATTTAAATAAATAAATTTTAGACAGAAAAAAAAAACTGAAAAAAAAATTAAATCAGCCGCCGTCCTCTTCCTTTTCTCCAACTGCCTTTTCCTCTTCACCATCATATCCCTCTCTCTCCTACTCTTTGACTCCACTTGCCTCCCTCTGTTTTCTGATCTCTTCCTTGCTCTCGCCTCCGCCGTCTTCTTACTTTAATTCGCCTCCTCCCCCTCATCTCTATTTAGACCTCCAATTTCCAAGCCAAATGCGACTCTGTCATGTCAAATCTCCGCCCTTTTCGCCTTCCTCTGCTTGATCCTGGCTGGCCAACCTAGGATGTTCTTTGCAGATGTGGGATTGGGGCAGACTTGATTTTCAGTTGGTTCTTTCTTTCTTTCCTTTTGTTTTGACACGAGGGGATGATCACGGCGGTGACTGATTTATTTTATTTTTATTTTTTCTAAAATTCATTTATTAAAACCCAATTAAAAACTGACACGGGTTGCTTACAGGTATAAGATTAACACAGTTTAACATTATTAATTTAAAAAAAAATAACACAAAAACACAACAATAAAAGCAGAAGAAGTTAAAGGTACGTCTCCAATCATTAACCTTTTTAACATACTCTAGGTTTCTTCATTAAGCATTCGCAGTCCAAGATTTTTAACCCAGTTTGCTAGTACAGACCTGTCAACAACAGATATAATAGGTAATCTTGGCACTCCAACTAGAGCTTTAGGTTGCCTCATTCCTCCTTGAATTGATATGAGGCCATTCGCATTGGACCGATTTAGCTCTAGATTTCTCAATTTTGGGTATTAGGTATGTCTGAGAACTTCACCAATTCAAGCTGCTCACACCCCAAATAGAGTTGAAGCCTAAAGATCTCTCTAAGAAGGATTTCACCTAAAGTTGCCAAAACAAAGAATTATTATCCCCCAATTCATCCCGAGAGATTTTTCCTTCAATGAAAAAGATTCATAGACCTGAAAAAAATAAAATGGAATTGTTTCAGAAACTAATGAAAATGATGATAAACAAATATATAATAAAAATAAATATATGAGATTCGAGTTTTTAAAAATGAAAATTGAAGATGAAAGCAGCATAGAAAATTCCAACCAACAATCTTCACACCATGGAAAAGAAAGTACGGATGAGGGAAATTTCCAAAGTCACGGCCACCTTTTCTCTTGAAAATTGCATACTCCTCTAGCTTTTGCATGGTCATATTTGATCTTTTTCCATCCTGCCCACGGTATTTTTGTGCGCTAGTGACATTGCTCTTCAGAAAATCAGGTTGAACACAGTAAAGAATCTATTCACCTAAATAGCATTTTTCCTAGAAAAGGCGACGATGTTGGGGGTTGCAACTAAATGATTAATTCATCAATCAATCCCCTTAATCCAAAAATCTGTCTACTCATCAATCCTTACTTACCTCCACCGCCCCTGTGATCATTACTTCAAAGAAACCCATTACCTTCCTCACGTGACATCCCCAAATCAATCATGACCGTCCAAATCTTGATTCACCTCTTGTTCAAAAACGTAGATACATCAACGGTGCATAAGCATGGGCCCCAGCAACAGAGCACCAAAAGCCCATCGAAAGCCAAAAAACACAAACAGAAAATCCAATGGTCCAAATCCCATCCCGTCCATGATAACAACTAACCTCTCATCCCGTCCAACACCTCCATGATAGCCATTTCAATGGTGACGATAAATCCTATAAGGCTATAACAACTAACATCTCATCCCGTCCAACAATTTACCAAACAATTACCCATATGGCCCACCCATTTTTCTCCAACAAAATCGTCAAATCAGCGGTGATGAGATCAAGGGAGTATCTTAATACAATAAACTGCGAAACATGGAAAAACATGTCCTTTTAAAAGAAAATAAAAAATGTGATGGCACGTGCCGGCCTGCCACAGTAAAGCAAAAAAGGAGCCGAATCTAAATCCGACGACCAATCATACCTTCCCGTCAAGACCGGGAGCTCCTTTTGATTCAATCCAACGGCTAAGTTCCAACTCCCTGATTCACCGTTGGATCCCAATCTCTATATTAAATCCCCCTCCCTCTCCCCATTACCCCATAAATACCCGGTCCAAAATCTGTACACAATCTCTCTCTGTCTTTTAAATCCAATTAAATCCTATCTCTTCCTCTAAAAACAAGAGTCTTCGTAGCTTTAACCCTTTTTCACTTGTGTGCGCTAACGTGCGCGCTCAGCAACTGCTTAACGTGCGCCGCCTGAGATATGTCACCGGCGGCTAAAATTACAACGTTAATAAGAATATCGCGGTACAGGAGGGCCCAGTAAGAAAATCATCAGACGGTGGGGATTGGTGGGTTGGATTGGATCTCCTCCTCGGGACCCACGCCAACAAACAAGAAAATGGACGCTCAAAAGAGCAGTCAAGCAAAGCTTACAAGAACGCAATCTTCACTCCTCCGTTCATCTCCCACTATTCGATCATCCATTCACAGCTTAACTTCTGTAGCCGAAGAGGACGTTATCAAAACCCAGCAGCAGCAGCAGCAACAACAACAAAAACTTGAAGATGATTTAGAAGAACAGAAAAAAGTAAAGCCGCATCGGTCTGGTTCAACCCCAAGAAGAACCGGTTCAACCCGGTTCACACCAGTTATCACAATGGTTTCGCTCATTTTTTTCACTCTCTTTTCTATCTCTTTCTTCTTCTTCTTCTACTTGAGAAGAGAAGAAATCCCCACATCAGAGAATCTTTTATTGGCTTTGATTTTCGTTGCTATAACTCTCTTCTTTGCAAGCAAGAACAAGAACTTAATCAACCAGAATTTGATAGTTTTCAAGCAGTTATGGGAAGAGAACACCAAAAGATTCAACCTGTGTAATTCAAGAACCAAATCAAAGCAAGTCCAATGGTTTATTGGAGACCCAAATGTTAACAACAATAGTAAAGGCAAGAAATTAGAGAAGAGGGTTATAAGAGAAGGAGTGGAGTTTTATAGCAATGGGGATTTTTATGAAGGAGAGTTTCATAAAGGCAAGTGTAATGGGAGTGGGGTTTATAATTTCTTTGTGAATGGGAGATATGAAGGTGATTGGATTGATGGAAGATATGATGGTTGTGGAATAGAGAGTTGGGCTAGAGGGAGTAGATATAGAGGGCAATATAGACAGGGTTTAAGGCATGGTTATGGGGTTTATAGGTTTTATACAGGGGATTCTTATGCTGGTGAATGGTTCAATGGGCAGAGTCATGGTGTTGGAGTGCAGACTTGTGCTGATGGGAGTTGCTATGTTGGTGAATTCAAGTGTGCGGTCAAGCATGGCCTTGGTGTTTACCATTTCAGGTGATTTTATTTCCTGAACTCAGATTGCTTTATTTATTTGAATTTGTTATAAGTCGTTGTTTCTTGGGTCGCTGTTTTAAAAATCCTCTTGCAGTTGGAAATTTTCTTTTTATTTATGATTTTATTTATTAGTTGTTTGCAGGGTTTATGAGTTTATTTACTGAGCTACGATTCAATTTTTTTTAGAGTGAAGTTGGGTTTCTGGGATTAGTGTTTACTGATTAATTTAGCAGTTTAAGTACCTTGGATTTAAAATTATGGTTGAAAGATGGAATTCTTGGTAATTTTTTCAGGTGAATTCTTGAATTGAACTATATTCTGTCCCCTGACACCCCCTAATTTTGTGGCTGGGTTTCTTATGGTTTGTTGTCAAGCGTGTGATGTTGAATTATTGTGGGGGTTCCTATTTTAGATCTGTTCATGATTTGATAAAACAGTAGAAATTGGTTTATGAAATAAATTTATGATACATCGGGTCTTCCATTTATGATTAATTTGGCTTGTATCTGTGTGAGTTGCTGTTTTTTTAACTGATGATGATTAAAGGCGGAGTGCAAGCTGATTGTTGTTTGTAATCAGTTATATTGATGGATTAAAATTGAATTGAATTGGTTGTGTCCCTAATTCACATGTTTTCTTTTTCATGGATTTGTTATGGTTTTCTGTTCCAGTTGGTTTGTGATTTTGTAGTTCTTAAATTCTACTCTTGAAAGCAAGTTTATGTTTTTATTTTTTATACGCAGTAGGAGCTCAATATTGATGAAGAAATTGATTGTGTTGCAGAAATGGAGATAGATATGCAGGAGAATATTTTGGAGACAAAATGCACGGCTTTGGTGTTTATCACTTTGCCAATGGCCACTGCTATGAGGGATCATGGCATGAAGGACGGAAGCAAGGCTATGGCATGTATACTTTCCGCAGTGGCGACACTAGATGCGGGGAATGGGATGGTGGTGCCCTCAAGACCCCTCTACCTCCTTTAACTGAAGCTGTCCTACGAGCTGTTCAGGTATTTTATTTGGACTCTGAACTTCCATTTCGATAATAGGTCATTAGAAAGCTTTCACACTTCTCACCCACTTTTGCTTGTTGATTGCTCTGAATTGCAGGCCGCCAGAAAAACAGCAGAAAATGCCATTCGCTTGCGCAGGGTGGATGAACCAGTGAACAAGGCAGTTCAGGCTGCAAATAGGGCTGCAACTGCAGCTAGAGTCGCTGCAGTCAAAGCTGTCCAAAACCGGATAGATGGCAAATTTTGCGATACTAATGTTTGAGTTTAAACTTTTGTCGAAAGTGTAAATTTACTAATATCACTTGGAAGATGTCACCCTGGTGAGCAAAAGCTCATTGGAGGTTGAAAAAGAGTGTTCGAGCCTTTTTCTTTTTATCACACTGTAACTTGTACATACTCCATGTATATCAATGGAATTAAGATCAATTTTCTAGAGGCTTTTTTCTCCCATCACTTGTTGTATGTTGCCGTTCGAGATTTTTCGACAACGACGTTGTACTGCAATAATGAGATCTTAGGTTGGATCCTGGCTAGGGCTGGTGCTTTTTATTATCATCATTATAGACGTACCATACGATAAACAACAATCACAGCTGCATGGAGCTTAAGTTGCAATTCCACTAGTTGGACGGACACCGTATTTAATTTGTCAGAACAAGACAGTGAAAAGAAAAGATTGGGAAAAAAAAAAAACTTCAAACTTTTGTCTCTTCTTCAAACAAATACGAAAATCACCAGTTTTTTCTATTAGTGAAGATTTATTTGATCATTAGTCTTTTTTGTTATTTTAATCTTGTCTCTTTATATTTTTTTGTTTTAATATTATTTTTTAACCTAATTTAAATAAGGAATTTTGAAAAAAGAAAACTAAAAAAAATAAAGATATATTCATTCCTTTTTTTATTAAAAAAAAACTAAAAAACGCAGTAAGATAAAAATACTTTTTTGTCCAAAAAGATTAAATTTATTTCTATGGTAGTAAGTAAAATTTGAGTATAAAGTAAAAGAGTTGTAGTTTTTTGTTTAAAATATAAATAGTTTTATTTAATTTTTTAAACTTTTAAATGATATTTATAAAACATCAAAAGAGTATATTATAGTTTCCTTATTTTAATTTTAATTTTTTTTAATTTGATTTAAAAGTAGAAATTTAAATTTTGTTTCAAATTTTAGTCAAATTAAGAAATCCATTAGTGTTGGGTCCAATACTAATAAAAATTTAAAAATTTAAGTAAAACTCTTTTAATTTAAAAAACACTTTAAATATTTCATTTCATACTCAAAATTTACTTAATATAGAGATAAATTTAAACACAAAAAATATTTTTATCTTTATCTTTTTTTTCAGTTTTTTCAATTTTTTAGATAGAATGATAATATATATTTTATTTTTTATAATTTTTTTCAAAATTCATTTATTTGAATTTTATAAGGAAAAGATTGAAACTGAAAGTAAAATAGATCAACGATATTAAAATAAAAAATAAATAAATTCACACGTGTTGTAATTTTGTTGAGCTAACAATGTAATTTAATATTGTTAGCTCAAAAAGTTAATAAACAATAGAGATAAAACAAAGTACAAACAAAAAAAACGAACAAACAAATTTAAAACAGTAAAAAAATACAATAAAAACGAAAGAAAAAAATTAAGGGATCGTGCCACTATTAACTCCGTTCTGTTGCTACGGAAATCTCTATTAAAAAACTTGTACTTGCATTTGCTCTAGGTCTAATAATCATACTACACCAAGAAACTTAGACAACAGCCTTTTTTGACCATTGTACAATGTACATTACCAAGTTAATAAATACGACATAGCTCCACTTGTCAGCAAACCTTTCAGCAGCGACTCAGAGAGGGTTTTCTTTTTCTTTTCTTTTTTTTTTTAAAAAAAAATCTCCTTCACCCCAGATTATGGGGTTAGCCTAACCCTGCCTGAATAAGGCATTTCCCAACTTATCCATTCTCCCCGTGCCCATATCACAGGATCACAACTCGAGCAACACGAGGAGGTGTGATAGATATAAGCACCATAACACCTTGCCTGCTTTTTTTTTTTTTTTTTATAACTTTAGTTAACACCTGACAATATGTGTCCAAAAGCTAATTTACTCTACTTGAAGGTTAATTTGAAATTTAAGTTGGCTAATTATGTTGTCTCAAAACAGTGACAAATAATGAGTGCTTGCGATAGGATTGGAACCCAAACTTAAGTAAGCTGTGAGCCTAAAGATGGTGCAGATATTTCATTAAATTAGTACGTAGAAGCCATGTGCCTTCCTCATTCATGTAGCTAGGATAATGTTGTGTTTCGTATTTTACAAATATTAATGTAAAAAGAACATGATGTGGTGGATGTGGGGTTCCTTGTCGTGGCCAAGAAACTGTAGCTTTTCATGCATGCTGGATCCACAATCCCTGTTTCCATGTAATTTTTAAAGGCAATTAAGAAAGAACCTTTTCTTTTTGTTTGAATTTTCAAATCTAGCCAGATTCTTATTTTATTGTCACGGATCTTATTTTGTGCAGCTTTGGTCACTAGCTACTGCTGTTAGTCCCAACTTCAGATTCAAATCTCCTCTCGATGGTTAATTAACACCCAACCACTCCACATGCATTTCATAAAAGTACATGCATTTCATAAAAGTAAGGCCAACACAAAAAGCTGGTAGACATTGTGTTTATATTTATTTTTGGGTTATGAGATGAATATTTTTGTTTCTGCTACCTCTGTTTGACTAATCCTCGTGCCTTTGCCTTATAATATCCCAACAAATGAAGATTGCCTCAAGCCTCTTATATCAGGATGCTACTCTAGTTTCTTTAACAGTCACCCGGGAGACAGAGAGAGTATTCCTGTTTCAATGTGCAATGTCTTGTACCATGTCCCTACCATTATTAATTACTAGAATAAATTTCATTTTCGGCTATCATTATTAGTAGGTTACATGTGTTTACAATTTAAAAATTGCTAGTAGTTTTCTCATTTGGTTACCCTAGGACCGTTGAATTTCTGACCCATGTGGGTGGTTCGCGAATTGAATCTTGGGGCTGATGAAGTCTTTGCTCCATTCATTTGAACCTGTGATCTGGTCAATTTATTGGAAAACTTAAAACTTCCCCCATTAAATGTTTGTTAAACACTAAGCTGCATGTTAAAATTTCAAGCCTTTAATACATATTGATAAATAATCATGCAACCCCAAGCCAAATAGTTAACTTTTAGTGGATACTAGTTGGATACTCGCATTACTTTACATATAGACCATCGTTACATGTATAATGTTAACGATTTGTATGGTGTAATGTAAGTAAAAAATTTTATTTTTTGTTATTAATATAAATCGAATCTATGTATAATTAATTTCTAACGAAACTAATATATATATAAAACAAATTCAGAGTATATAGAAAAAATAGAAAAAAAATCACCTAAATTGTAGAAATATATTGAAGTCAATAGATTAAAATAAAAACTACAACAAAATTGGTTCTTATAAATTCTAAATAAATATATATAAAAAACAAATAAAACTTGTGAATTTTTTGAACTCGTTACTATTTTTGAAAAAAAAATTGAGCAAACCATCTAAAACATACTTTTATCTCTCTCTCTCTCTCTCTCTCTCTCTCTATATATATATATATATATATATATATATATATATATATATGACACTCATTTAAAAATATAAAAATAATTTATTGTATAAATTATAATAACATATTTTAAAAAAATAAAACATTGACGTTCTAAAATTTTATTCCAAAATTCATATATTAAAAAACTAAATTTATTAACAAATAAAATTAAATTAAAAATTAAAAAATTAATTTAATGAGAAATTTAATAAGAAATAAATAATTGAAGAAAAATTTTAAAACAATAAGAATAAAATAATCAGATATGTATGTTAACATCGGTGTCAAAGATATAATTAATATTGGTTCAAAGACATTAAAAGGACCAATAATATATGTGTTTTCTTTCTCGGTTAAGGAACTAATTGTATATGACTCGCTTAACCTATACATCACTTGCTAGAGATTCGGTTATGCTATGATAATATGCATATTCTTTTAAGAGTTTTCTTTTACCTCTTGGTGATCTAATCTTAAAACACATCAAGATTTGAAATAATTAGCAAACTTTTTTTTGTTCTATCATGAGATTAGTGGCCAGACTTTTAAAAATATAAAATAAATTATAGGAAGGAAAAAAATAGTATAGGGTTGCGTCGGGTTGGTATATAAATTAATTTAAAAAAAATTGAGTCAAATTAAATTTTTAACCGATTATTATTTTAAAAAAAATAAGTAAAATTATCTAAAACACACTTTTAGCCTCTCTCTCTCTTATTAGAATTTATATATGCAATTACGCTACTCTCATTTAAAAATCATAAAAAAATCAATTATATAAATTATAATAATATATTTTAAAAAACAAAACAATCAAGTTCTAAAATTTTATTTCAAGATCCATATATAAAAATTCAAATTTATTAACAATAAAATTATATAAAATTAAAAAATCAATTCGATAAGAATTTTAATAAGAAACAAACGATTAAAGAAATAAATTTTAAACAATAAAAATAATATAATCAGATATATATGTTTAAAATAAAATTTTTAAAAATATTATATATCTTCTATTACCATAAAAATGTATGCAATAATAATAATAATAATAATAATCTTTTTTATATTTTTACACCTAATTTCATGATAAAAAATATAAAAATAAATTATTAGAAGGAAAAAAAGAAGAAGGCAAATGCTAGTTGGGACTACTTGTGCGGGCTTGCTTGAGCCCGCTTCTCAAGGCCAGCCCTATAAAAAAAAGAAAAAGAAAAAAGGAAATGCTTCTCCAGGCCAACCCTTAAAAAAAAAAAAAAACTAAAGTAAAATGAGTCAAGCCAGCAATAAATAAATAAAACGCTACGATAAATGAATAGGAAAAATCATACTTATTTTATTTTTCTTAACATAATTGTAATATTCAAAACACACTTCTAGCTCTCTCTTTCTCACTAGATAATCAATCATATAAATTATAATAATTTATTTTTAAAAAATAAAATAATCGAGTTCTAAAATTTTATTTCAAAAGCCATGTATAAAAAAATCAAATTTATTAACAAATAAAATCATATAAAATTTAAAAATTAATTCAATGAGAATTTTAAAAAGAAACAAACAATTGAAGAAATAACTTTTAAATAATAAAAATAATATAATAAGATATATATATA